TTAATCTTGTTTATTGTCTCTCTGCCTTTCTAGAATATAAGCTTCGGAGGGCAGAGACTTTTGTCTGTTGGGTTCACTGCTGTGTCACTCGCTCTGTGATTCTGAGCAAGTAACTTCATCTTCATAGTCTCCTTTCTTATCTGTAAAAATAAAGATAATAAAATGATAATAAATGGTTATATATTGTTCATAGATATTATTTGGCTAAGAACTCCTTCAGTGAGTTTATATCAAGACTGAAGAAATCACGACAGTTGCATAATCCATTTTGTAAACTACATACAGTAACATATGTATGCAGAAGTTTCTGACTCAAGAAAAGGTGCCCCTCTGCCAGGCCTTCTGGCCCAGGAGGTGGTAGCACTCCTGCCCCCACATTTAGAATGGCTTCCTTGGGGTCCTCACGCCTGTGTCTCCTCACTGCTGCTCTTCACATCTAGCTCTTGAGGCCTCCATGATGCTGATCTGCCCTTGTTCTGCTCGGGGTTATGAGGTGGGCGTGAGGCTCAGACCACTTTTGCACTGTACTTCAATTTAATCTATTGTAGCCCAATATTGGAACATCTTATAACTTTTTCTGTAAGAACAATTAATTTCTAATTTTCAGACTGCATTGAAAGGGAACTTTGGAACATTAACGCACTGAGAAGTTAGAAGGACTTTTCAGTTACTGCATAAGAAAAATATTACTGGAAGAGGCAAGATTAAAATATCCTCATGTCCCAACTAGTCCTGAAAATATATTTATTATGCATCTAAGCCTTTAAAAATTGCAAACCCCTGTTCTTATCAATATAAATTTGTTTCATGAAGACAATTTATATATGAATAGACAACAGAAAAGCATTTGTTTTGATAACCTAATATCATTGTAACATTAAACTACTCTCTATGTAGCAAAAAATAAGTTAATCCTTAAAAACATTTGTTCCTTGCTTCCCTGTTTTGACAAAGATAGTGTTGAGGTGGTGTCTGTCACTGGATTAGAACCAGATGGAACTGGCAATTGGGTGTCAGCGTTTGTCTTTGCCCTGACTCTTCTCTGACCGGGCCTTTTTATTTGTTTTTTCAGCTTGGCACAGAATGTTTTTTCAGAAATGATGAGATATAAACCACTCAGAACAGGCTAGTTTTACATAAGAGCAAGTTTTACCTAACCTCTTAGGACCTGGTGTCAAGGGAAAACAATTTATGTCTCCTGGAAATTTTTGTTCCTCTTCTATTTTGTTCATATTTGTATGTGTTTGAAGGAAGATCATAGAAAGAGCATGCCTGCTTTCTTTACTGGAAACCCCAGCAGGGCAGGCTGTCTTCAGATCTTCTCCCTCGGTACCTGAGTGGTGGCCCAGGGTCAAGGGTGTTTCCTTCTCCTTCACTGGCTGTTCCTGTCTTTAGCTCTGATGTCTTTACTGTGTGTGAATAGAGCTTTACAGTGGTCAAGTTCTTGGGCTCTGGAGGCAGACCTGGGTTTGAGTTCTGGCTCCATTGCTCACTTAGTTTCTAATTATCTTACTTAATCTCAGTTTCTTCATGTCTAAAATTGGAGAAGTGGGGAAATACATATTACCTATTTAATAGGACTATATGAAGAAAAGTTGAATAAAATAACACATGAAAATGTTTAGCACAAGACCTTGCATATAGAAGTTGAGTAGATATCAGCTGCTTTATGAAAATCTACTTCAAGCTGCATTTCTTTGATTCGATCTATCTATCTGAACAATACAGGAATAACTGCCCATAATCTCTTTTAAGTTCTGAGAACATAAGAGTGACCAAAATAGACATGGCTCTGACCACATTGAGTCCAGTGGGAAAGATGTTTGTGCCTTGAAACTTGTCAATTATTAGAAGAAAACTTTTGACTAGATATAAAGTGGGAAAAGAAATTTAAATTGAAATAGGGATAGAGTTTCAAATTGAAAGCTTAACAAAAGAACTGTGAAGTTAAAAAAAAAAAAGATTTAGGAAAATCCATGTGGTTTTCTCGACTTTTGAATAGAAGTCCTAACACAAGCTGACAGATTTGCGTGTAAGGACAATTTAGTAGGTCAGCACTAGAAATGTAAGAAAGGGAGTAGAAAGAAATAAGGTCTGTGAAGTAGATTGGAGCAAGTCCATGGAGGTTTTTTTTTTTAAGAAAGTGAAACAAGGAGAGCAATTGTGAACTGGAAAGTGAAGTCAGTAATTTTCCAGTACAGAAGCTACAACCTCTGGTGGCAGAATCAGAATTTAACAACTGGTTGAGAAAGAAACAGGATTTGGTTTAGGAAATATTAACCTCCATTATTTAAACATGTGATAATCATATTCATATTTTGGCAGCCTGTTTAATATCATTAAAAATATGTGAAAGTATATTAATAACTAGAAGTAGTTCATTTTATATATTGTAAGACTATAGTGAATAGATTATAATTGACCTGGAAAAATTTATATTTAACCTGGAAAAATTTTAATGTAAATGTTTTTACCTAATTTTTTTTCTTTATTAAAATTATGTAATTTTAGAAAAAACTACCCATCAATTGATGAGTAGATGAATAAAATATTATATATTCATACAATGGAATATCATTTGGCAATATAACGATATGAGAGCTGAGCATGGTAGCTGGTAGCTCACTCCTGTAATCCCAGTACTTTGGAAGGTGGAGGGAGGAGGGTTGCTTGAGGCCAGGAGTTTGAGACCACCTTGGGCAACACAGCGAGACCCTTTCTCTACAAAAAATGAAAAAATTAGTAGTACATGGAAAACGCCTGTAGTCCCAGCTACTTAGGAGGCTGAGGCAGGGGGATCGCTTGAGCCCAGGAATTTGAGGCTGCAGTGAAGTATGATCACACCACTGTACTCCAGCTTGGGCAACAGAATGAGATTCTGTCTCAAAATTTAAAAAAAAAGAGAGAGATGAAGTACTGATACATGCTACAAAATGAATGAAGCATGTCGTGAAACATTCTAAGTGATAGAAGCCATTCACAAAAGATCACATATTGTATCCTTCCATTTATATAACATGTCCAGAATATGTAAATCTATAGAGACAGTAGCTTAGTGGGGGGAAGGAGCGAGGAGTGGCTGCTCATAGGATGAGGTTTCTTTTGGGGTGATGAAATGGTCTAAAATTAATTGTGGTCATGTTTGCACAACTCTCATTACATTAAAAACCATTGAGTTGTGCAGTTAGCATTAATTGGTGATTATATCGTAAGAAACTTGTTAAAATTTTTTTTAATTAAGCAGTTTGAAAGAATTCTTAACTTCAGACAGTGTAAGGGGTAAAATATATCTTTACATTGAGCTCTGTTCTTCCTGCAGTTGTTAGAGCAGTAGTTCTCAGGTCACTTAAGGAGTTGTTAAAATTTAGAGTCTCAGATCATGCCCCATGGTTTCTAATTCAGCAGGCCTGGGAAGGGGATTGGGACTTATTTTTATGGGCATCCTTATGAATCAGCTGTTATCTGTTTCAAAAATTGAGACTGCTGTAGAAGACATTTCTCTTAGGATAATACTGCCCTGGGCCAGTCAACCCAGCCTTTACTTTCATTCTCTTGCTTTGGCTACCTTATCAGTGCTAAGGTATATATTCAGCAGTTTACTTAGAGTTTAAAATTATATTAGAACTACTCTAACATTGTCTTATTACACACCAGGCAGCTGAAGCCAGAGGGGATAAGTTTTTGTCTTAAGTGTCTCATGGTGGAATTGGAACCCAGATTTAGTTCTCCTTGTGCCCAATCCAGTATTCTTTCTACTTCATCATACCATCTCTCAGAATTTTATTGCATGCGATAATCTCTTACCACTTAATCTCCACAGGCTTAGGTGCTACCCAATTTTTAGTGGCTCTACCTATTTGTTGGCTGTGTGACTTTGAGCAAATTAGTTAACCTCTCTGTGCTTCAGTTTCTTAATCAGAAGGAAATGGGGTAAGAATAATATCTACTAGATATACTTATCATGAGGATTTATAATAACATACAGGTGAAGTGCTTGGCATAGTTGTTGGCATGTTGTACATGCTCAGTAAATGTTAATTGTTGTTTTTTGTTTGTTTGTTTGTTTGTTTTTTCGAGACAGGGTCTCTCTGTGTTGCCTGGGCTAGAATGTATGGCCATCATCATAGCCCACTGTAGCCTTAAACTCCTGGGCTTGAGTGATCTTCCTTACTCAGCCTCCTTAGTAGCTGGGTGTATAGGGTAATTTTTAAATTTTTTTGTAGAGATAGGGTCTTGCCCTTGCTCAGGCTGGTCTTGAATGCTTGGCCTCAAGTGATTCTCCAGCCTTGACCTCCCAGAGTGCTAGGATTACAGGTGTGAGCTACATACCGTGCCCAGTCATTATTTCTAATAATAGCTATTTCAGATATTTGCTTTCTTTAAGAGTCTAGAGTCATGAAATATTTTTAAAAGGATAGTTAAACAAAATACATGTTTTCTCAACATATCTACATTCTAATTTTCCTGTAGGGGTTCAGGAGGTAAATTTAGAGCAGTGATTATCAAATATATTCAGATGATGGAGCTACCATGTTTGTTTTGGAACCTGTGATAAACGGTCTTATAAACTAGAAACGATTTTACTAGCAGAGAGTGACTTTATTGGATTTATATAATATGAATTCACTATAAGCATACCCATCCATAAAAAAGCTATAGAAGTAAGCCCAATCAACTCCTTGTAAATAGATATTATTTTAAATTTACATATTATCAATTTGTTTCATCATCTGCCAGTAAAATTGTAGTAGATGCCAGGTATTTTCAGATTTAGTCAGGATAGAGTAAAAATAGTATGACTTTTTACTTTTTAAATTTTCATCTTTTAATCTTGGTTATATTATTTAACCTTTTTGTGCCTTGGTTTTCCTGTTTCAAAAATGGATGTTATACTTTGGACAGTGTGGAGCCTTAATTAATGGTTACTAATCAGATGCTTTAAGCAACTTAGATGAAAGTCACTTTAGTTCAAAGTACTATAGTAATATATTTAATGTTTTAAATAATTAGCTTGAGAACTTTCTGTGGAAATGACTAACATAGGATTATTGACTTAAATGTCATGCTTACTTTGTGCTCTTCTGATGACATAGGATATGATTGTGCCCTTTTCATGGGGATTCCCAGTCCCACCTGTGGAATTCTCAAGTCCTTTTCTTTATTACTTGGCTTGGAAACTCAGTAAAGTATTTGTTTACTTTGTAGTTCAGTGGGCACAAGCCACATGCAGGGCATTTTGCTAGGAACAGAAGGTAGCCCTAAGGACACACAGTCTCCACCCTTGAGGATAAATAGAAGAATCATGTGGAAATAAGAAAAGTGAAGTTTTTTTCTGCAGAGGGTGTATCCATTATCCTTGTTGTGTTCTCCAGCTTTATCATGGTAAGAAAAATTATACCATCGTATGCATTTCATTTGGGTCCCCTGAGTTTTTTATTTGGTAATTGACATGTCTACAGCAGTGCTGCCATGTCGGGTAGTTGTAGATGTGCTGCTCACACTGCCCTTTTTTTTCTAATTAAAATGAGTCTGTGGGTAAAGTAGAAGTAAAAATACAGCTCAGTCACTGCCTTGCTTTGTGGTAGATGTCACTGTGACTCCCGCCTTGGCAGCAGGCGCTTTGGCCTACAGCGTAGTCTCCAGTAGTCTGGGATCGTGTGCCCCACATCAGGAATGACTCTACCGCTTTCTCTCTGAGTGAAGAAAGCATTTCTACACGTGACTGAGAGATATTAGAAAATTCTTCAGTGTAGTGTATTTCATTTTTTAAAAAGTAGTGATGCATTTTAGCAAGAGAAGGACATGATAAAATTTGCATTTTTAAAGAGACCACATTCCCAACCCCCCCATCTCCCTCCTTCACTCTGAGCTGTGTTTTTTCACTCAAGAAAATAGAAGGAACCTGAAGAAAACTTCCACATTCTCCCACCACCCAATCCACTACTCACATCTGTACCAAATACCTTCTCAAGGAGATACAGAAATAACTAGCTTCTGTTTCTTGCCTGTACCACTACTCCACTCCTCATTTCACAGTTTCATCAAGACCCAATCTATCAGAGCTTCTCTTGTCAAGGCCATCAATTGAGATAGGAAGAAAATCAGAAGAATGTGGAATCAAGGAAGTATTTCAAAACTAGGACAAGGTCAACTGTGTCAAATGCTGGTGACAAGTGCTTTCAAAGGCTTAATGACTCACATCCAGGGCTCCAAACAGAATGGCAGTGTGAAATACAGCAGTAACGAGATTAATCAAGATGGCGGATGAGAAACACCACCAGACAGAGTGACTCTGCAGAAAAGACAGATTCTAGGAGAAATCAGAAGAAAGAAGCAGACAGATGAGCATACATTGGAGGAGGGTGAGAAGGAGGGTACCTGAGACGACAGGAAACTCCACGGGAGGAGGTTGCAGAAGAGAACTGGAAGCAGAGACCTCCATAGCAGCCTGGAGACCAGTGGCAAGGGGAGGTGGAGCAGTTAACTTTCCCTTCCCCTGCATCTCGAACTGCTGGTGGGCTCCCCAGTGGTTGGAGAGACCTGCGGACACCAGCCTAGAGACGGCCGCCGCCAGCGAGCAGTAAGCCTGTAGTGGACGCAGCACCAGGCTCCCAACTCCTGAAGGGCACTTCCCTGTGCACAGACCCGAGCCACGCTGCAGGCGCCATATTGCCTCCTTCTCCCCTCCCCCGTCCCTATCCGTGGCTGCCGAGAGAGACAATATAGTCACCAGCCGGAGGCACCTCTAGGGAACGAGACCTTCCCTTTTGGGGTCCTACACCTAAGTTAGGGGAACTCAGATGGTGAACTCCCTACCCACCAGCCCTTCCAGGTGCTGCTGGCCCGGTGATCCCAGGAGAACGGGGCAGACCCTGAGGCTGAGAGACATCAACCCAGCTTGGACTCTCTGTGGGTGAATTGGGACTGGCACTCCTCTCCCTAGTGGGGTTAGGGATTGAACTCTGGGACCCAGAGGTCAGACCTACAGACCAGAACCCATGCACCCAGGTCTCGCATTGCCCAGAGCACAGAAGGGATATACGTGAACAGCCATCTGAGGTGTGTGTGCCTTCAGGGGCAGATCAGCATCTTTGAGGGCAACCCTCCTCCCACAGGGGGGTCGTGCACCCAGCCCAGGCAGCAATCCTATGCGGGGAACCTCCCGGCCAGTGTCACAGCCGGGGAGGCCTGGTGGCATGAGGTCTGCCCTGCTGGCAGAGGCCCAGGAGTAGCTGCAGAGTTGGGGACGGTGGAAAGAAGCGAGGCCCGCTCCAGACTGCAGGTCTCAGACAGCCCCACCCCCACACAGACTTTCTGACTGAGTGGGGCCATTCCAGCCCCTTCCTGGCAGCTTTACCAGAAGCAGAGAACAGAACTTTGACCCCTGCTGACAGCATTGGTGGTGCCTGAGAGCAGGCTGACCCAACCCAGCTCTGTCCAGACTCTCTCCTAGACCAGCCCTCACCGAGGGGGAGAAAAGGACACACCTGGAAGTCCCAGGGCCCCACCAACCACCTGAGGCACTAGAGTGCCTCTCTAGAGGAACAAGAGCTGGTTACAGGACACAAAAACAACAGTGTAGCCTGTTTCTCTATGCAAGCACCACCTACTGACAGGGAGGACCTTCTCCACACCCTTTTCATGGCACCTACTGACTCATCCATCATACAGGGTGAAGTCGAATCTCACCCACAAACACCACCTACTGGCTGAGAGACTAAACAAGGTGTGTCAATACCCAAAAGAAAACCTAAAGGAAAAAAGCAATAACTGATCCAGATGGGAAGAAATCAGTGAAGGAACTCCGGAAATATGAAGAACCAAATGGAAACCACACCCCCAAAGAGGAGCACCAGCCCCTCAGAAACAGACACCAACCAAAATTAGGCAACCAAAATGACAAAAGAGGAATTTTGAATGGAGATCATAAGAAAATTCAACAACCTTCAAGAACAACTGGATAACCAACACAAAGAAAACACAAGAGACTCCAGGACCTAGAACAAAAATTCACTAAAGAAATCGATACAATGAAGAAAAGTTTAACCCAACTCCTGGAAATGAAGAATCAATTCAGGAAACTACAAAACACAGTGGAAAGCTTCAAGAACAGGGTAGATTAAACAGAAGAAAGAATCTCAGAGATTGAAGATAACACCTTCCAATTAAATAAATGAGTCACAGAAATAGATCAGAGAAACAAGAGAAAAGGGCAAAGCCTACAAGAGATGTGGGATTATGTGAAGAAACCTAATGTGAGGGTCATAAGGTTGCCAGAGTGGGAGGAAGAAAACACTCAAGGGTTGGACAAGCTATTTGAAGATATAAGAGAGGAAAACTTCCCAGACTCTGCTAAAAATTTCAATATACAAGTTCAAGAAGCTCAGAGGACCCCTGGGAGATTCAATGCAAACAGGAAGATGTCACGACATGCAGTCATCAGACTGACCAAAATATCAACTAAAGAGGCCCTTCTCAGAGCTGTAAGACGGAAGAAGCAAGTAACATACAAGGGAAAGCCAATAACACCAGACTTCTCCACTGAGACTTTACAAGCAAGGAGAGACTGGGGCCCCATTCTCACTCTTCTGAAACATAACAATGCCCAGCCTAGAATCTTATTCCCTGCAAAACTAAGCTTCGTATATGAAGGAGAAATCAAGACATTCTCAGATAAGCAAAGACTGAGGGAATTCACCAAGACAAGACCAGCCCTTCAAGAAGTACTCAAAACAGTGTTACCCACGGATCAGCACGATAAACACTCACAAATGTAAATCTACTCAAAGCTAAAGATCAAAGCCCAGATACTAAAATGACTCAAGAGAGAAAACTAAGCAACAAAGTTCAACCCAACATAATGAATAGAAATTTGCCCCATCTATCAGTTATCTCAATAAATGTGAATGGCTTGAACGCCCCACTCAAGAGACATAGGCTAGCTGAATGGATAAAAAAACACAAGCCAAGTATCTGCTGCCTTCAGGAAACACATCTAACCTGCGAGGATGCAGTTAGACTGAAGGTAAAGGGGTGGAGAACAATATTTCAAGCAAACAGAAGCCAAAAGAAAGCAGGCATGGCGGTGCTGATTACAGATAACTTAGTTTTTAATTTTTTTATTTTTTATATAATTTTTTTATTTTAGCGTATTATGGGGGCACAAGTGTTAAGGTTACATATATTGCCCATGCCCCTCTCCCCCCTCAAGTAAGAGCTTCAAGCGTGTCCATCCCCCAAACGTTGTAAATCTTACTCGTTGTGGTTGTATGTACCCATCCCCTCCTCCTGCCTCCTACCCTCTTGACACCCAATAAATGTTACTCCTATATGTCCACTTAGGTGTTGATCTGTTAATACCAATTTGCAGGTGAGTACATGTGGTGCTTGTTTTTCCATTCTTGAGATACTTCACTTAGTAGAATGGGTTCCAGCTGTATCCAGGAATATACAAGAGGTGCTATATCACCATTGTTTCTTAAAGCTGAGTAGTACTCCATGGTATACACATACTACATTTTATTTATCCAGTCATGAATTGATGGGCACTTGGGTTGTTTCCACAGCTTTGCAATTGTGAATTGTGCTGCTATACACATTTGAGTGCAGGTGTCTTTTTCATAAAGTGACTTTTCATCTTTTGGGTAGATGCCCAGCAATGGGATCTGTTTCTGTTCAGGTCCTTTGCCCATTTTTTGACAGATAACTTAGTTTTTCAATCAACAAAAGTAATAAAGACAAAGAAGGTCACTATATAATGGTGAAGGGCACAGTTTAACAAGAAGAAATAACCATTCTAAATATATATGCACCCAACCTTGGTGCCCCTAGAGTCATAAATCAAACTCTACTTGATCTAAACAAATGGATAAGCAACAACACCATAATAGTTGGAGACTTTAACACCCCACTGACAGTACAGGACAGATCCTCCAAACAGAAAATCAACAAAGAAATAATGGACTTAAACAGAATTCTAGAACAAATGGGCCTGACTGACATTTACAGGACATTCTACCCCAAAACCAATGAATATGCATTCTTCTCATCAGCTCATGGGTGATTCTCTAAGATTGACCATATCCTAGGACACAAAGCACGTCCGTCTCAAAGAATTTTAAAAAATAGAAATTATACCATGTATCTTTTCAGACCACAATGGAATAAATGTAGAAATCGATCCTAACAGGAGTCCTCATTTCTACACAAAGTCATGGAAACTAAACCCTTCTGCTGAATCATCACTTCATAAATGAGGAAATCAAGATGGAAATCAAAAGATTCTTTGAACTAAATGACAAAGGTGACACAAGTTACCAAAACCTGTGCGACACAGCTTAAGCAGTCTTGAGAGGAAAGTTTATTTCCATAAATGCCTATAT